CCCCCAGTATTCTCAATCTTAGAGCCAGAGTGAACATTTTAAAATAGAAATCTGGTTGTGTTTGCCCAGTCTTCTCCCACTTTCCCATGCACAACTTCCCATTGCTTAAAATGTATCCGTGGCTTCCCATTGTTTTTGGTCTAAAGATCAAAATTCTAACTAAGGGTTCTGTGCTCTCTGCTCCAGGCACACTGGCCTTCTCTTAGCAATTTAAGATCACCAAGCTTCTCCATCCACAGAGACGTTCCACGTACTATTCCTGCTGTCTGGAAAGGCTCTTCTCTACCTTCTTTGTCCAGGTGAGTCCTACTCTGTTTAGATCTTGGCTTGTCATTGCCTTCAGAAAGTTTTCCTTGACCCCTGACCAAGTCAATATATCTGGAGTATTCACACAACAAATATTTTTTGAATGCCTGCTAAATGCCAGGCATTGTCCTGGTTGCTAGAAACATAAAGGAAACAAAACAATCGACGTGGCAGGGAGGGACAATAAACATTAAATATAAGCCCTGTCAGGTATGTTAGGTGTTACAAACCACAAATAATCAGGATCAAGGGCAAAAGGACAGGAGCATTCTTTCAGATGAAGTAGTCAGGGGAAAGCTTTCTGAACGAGAGGTGTTTCACAGAGCCCCAAATGAAGTAAAGGACCAAGCAATGCTGTCTAGAAAAAAGAACGTTCTAGGTAGAGGAAACAATGAGTGCAAAGGTCCTAAAGACAGTGTTGGAGGAATGGCCATAGGTTCGTGATACACAGTTATTTCCACACCATGTATCTGATCTTAGTACTTAGCACAGCTGCAATTAAAAAATATTCATCTGTATTATGTGATGAATGCTCATTGCTCTTATAGACTGTTACTTCTAATGATGTAAGGAAGGAATGAGGCCCGTTTTTTGCTTCCCATTAACCCCTGGATCTCCTGTGTCCTGCCTGATGCCTGGCACATGGTAGATCTTCGGTAAACATTTGTCGAATGAATGGAGAAATGACGATTCGATGAATATAAATAATGAAGCAGATCCCCAGGTGACCGCCTCGGGTAGGTGTTGTCTGTGCCCCACCCGTATGCCCTCAGAACCTACCTACAAACGCCAAGAGCTGTTCATCCTGCAAATCTCTCCCTGAGAACTTCCTTTCTCACCAAGACAGCATGCATGCGGGGCCAACGAGTTTCAAAGAGTTAATGTCCCCAGAAACGTCCCTCTGCCGATGCCAGGTGGAGAATCAGAGGAAAAATACAGGGTGGGGCCAAAGAAGGTTTAGAGTTGTTTGAATGGAAAATAATATAAAATTAATCAATGGTAAGGCTAGAATGAGCCCTGTGTTTCGAATACTCACAGCGTTTCTCAACCCTGCGAATACCTGTCCTCCAGGAGCCATCTGGCAATGTCTGGAGTCCTTCTGGCTTGTGACGCTTGGGGGTGGGAGGGGGGTGCTATTTGCCTCCAGCAGGTATAGGCCGGGGATGGTGCTGAACATCTGACAGTACGCAGGACAGCCACCAAGCTAAGGGTGGCCCAGCCCAAAGGCGAGCAGCGCCGAGGCCGGGACAGCCTGCCTTAAGGCCTCCAGGGTCCACATCAGACCTGGGCTGCAGTCACCCACAGAGCCACTGGTTTGATGACTCCCTTTATTGGCTTCCTTCCCCTCTGTCCCACTTCTTTCTCCCCTAGTGGTGTTTCCTGGGATCACCTCACAAATACACTACTTGCCCTCAAATCCTCCAGGGTTGATTTCTGGCCAAACACAAACACAAAAACATCCCTCAAACCTTGTGTCTCTCAGCAACTGGGCTCTCCTCCTCGTGGGCTGTATGATAAGACACAGGGCTGACGATGACGCCACAAGGGGACAGTGGCTTCTGAAAAGGGCAGCCACTCATAAGGAAAGGCTGTGCTACCTGATAAAGTGTTTTATTTGAGAAAAGAAGCTCTTGGCGCACTGGGACCCTAGGAGAGTCACTCCGTCTGGATAGTTCCCTGGCCTAAGAGGGGGAAAGGAGAAAGAACACTAGGGGTGGAAATTGAACC